TTTCTTGCTCCTCTGATGCTGCCTGGCCCGCTGTGTTCATCCAGCTCTACACCTTGTTATCTCATATATTTACATAGCGCCTTTAGAGTCGTACAACACAGAAACAGACCCTTCAATCCATCTTGCTGACCAGACATCCCAATCTGACCTAGTCCCATTTGCCAGCATTTGGTCCATATCCCTTTAAACCCTTCCTATTCATGTACCCATCCAAATGCCTTTTAACTGTTGTACTTGTACCAGCCTCCACCATTCCCTCGGGCAGCTCATTTCCATACACGCACCACTCTCTGTGTGAAAAAGTTACGCCTTGGGTCCTTCTTAAAATTTACCCCCCTCACGTTAAACCTCTGCCCTCTTGTTTTGGACTCCCTCACCCTCGGAAAAAGATCTCGGCTATTCACCCTATCCATGCCCCTCGTGCTTTAAAGTGTCTCATGTTGGAATAAGGCATGCAGATTCAGCTTGCAGGCTCTTCTTTATAAAATTAGTCTTCAGTGAACCTTTTCATCCCCAAAATGCATCTTTCTTCCTTCAGATAAATGGAATGGTTAACAATGTTTTAGTAAAATAAGAAAGGGAACAGAAAAATAAAGAAAAAAAATTAAATCAAACAATAATGAAAAATACTGAACAAAAGGAAAGATGGTCCACAAATAGAAATTGCTGAAAAACCTCAGCAGGTCTGTCAGCATCTGTGAAGAAAAATCAGAGTTAACGTTTTGAGTCTGGTGACCCTTCTTCAAAACTGATGGTAGCTAGAAAAATGTCAGTTTATATGCAGAAGATAGGGTGGGGGAGGGGGTAAGGAGTAAACGATAGTTGGGGATAGAGCCCAAAGAGAGAGAAGAGCAGTTGGACAGACAAAGGAGTTGACAAAGGTTTTAGGTTCAATCTCTCACATGCAGAATTAACTGAACACAGTTGAGGTGACAGTAGGGTTGTAAGTACTGCTACGGAGAAAGGACTTGGGGTTTCCTGATTGCTATCAAGCCTTTCTCTACTTTAGAATGTCCCAAAATGCTTGCAGCCATTGAACAGACCCTATTCCTTAATTTGAATGAGAAGAAACTAAGGTTGTTTAAAAGTAAGTGCAGGAAGTTTACAGGAGATGTGAGGAAAATAAAATTCACCGAGAGGGTGAGGGGAATCTGGAACTCACTGCCTGTAAGGATGGTAAAGGCAGAAACCCTCATAACATTTAAGAAGTATGTGCACTTGCGATGCCAAGGCATACAAGGCTATGGGCCGAGTGTTGGAAATTGGGATTAGGATAGTTAGGAATAGTTGTTTTTGACCAGTGCACATATTCTGGGCCGAAGGGTCTTTTTCCTGTTCTGCAGACTGTAGGAATATACGACTACAATACTGTAAATTGACAGTATTAATCATAGTCTAAATGTCACTCAAAATAAAGCAGTTCATTAGCAGAGATAAGATAGATTATTGTAATGACGATGGAGAAGGTATATTAGTGAATGGTTTATCGAGAAATGCTCGTGGCAACAGACAATGTGATGATGACACAAATTAAAACAATTAATAGTAATTCATAATGTACTTCGATGCAATCATT